TCACTCTCTTAGTAGTTATTTCTCACTCTCTCTCTCCCTAGCACTCTCTTACATTTATTTTTATTTTTAAAGTTTTTAAAAAGTACTTTTTAGAATTTCCTACATACACATTGTACTTGAATTATATCCTTTCCACCCCACCCTCTCCTACTCGGCATCCTCTTAGGACTTTCCACACCCTCTCAACTTCATGGGTTTTTCTTTATTATTATTAAATACATATTTATGTATAAATCAATAATGATATAAATACAATTTGATAGGTCCATTTAGTATTTCCCATGTGTATATTGTTCACGGGGATAATCCTTGTGGGATTAGATTATTTTTTAAGGGGTCTCATCCCTAAAGAACACTGACTCTCCCTCTCTCAGAACTCATTAACTACTGGACATCTTTATGTAGGAGTGGAAAGTCTTCAGATTTCATCATGTATTCTATAATGTCAATTGATGTTATCATTTTTCAGGTCTATTTATGCAGCCATATGGTTGACTTTTCTTGGGTGTAGTTATCTCATAATATATAGAAGACACAATCTAACAGAAGACATCATGATCTTCTGCCTGTGACAGTATTTCCAGTTCTTTTCTAGGATGTGCCAGAGCAAGGGGGTTGTGCTATAGGTAGATCAGGTAGGACTAAACACACCATGGTATCTATCTTGCTTAGGATTTTAATGCTGTAAAGACCAAGGTCATGACAACTCTTACTAAGAAAAACATTTAATCAGGGCTGGGCTAAAGTTTCAAAGATTTAGCCTATTATCATCACAGTGAAAAGTATGGTGAAGTATGGTGACATGCAGGTGGGCATGGTGCTGGAGAAGGAGCTGAGAGTTCCACATCTTGCTCCACAGGAAGCTGGAGACAGTATGACACACTGGGAGTAGTTTGAGCATATGATACTTCAAAGCATGCATCCACAGTGACAAACCTTTTCCAACAAGGGTACAAACACCCTAACAAGGCCACATCTCTTAGTGATACAAATTCATAAGGGCCAAGCATTCAAACATGTGAGTCTATTGGGAATATTCCTATACATATTACTAACCAGCTGTTGTTCACTGTTTTTGGATTAGTCTTGAATTTCTTTGATGCCCTCTCTACAGAAAAGGGCATTTTTAGTATAGGGCTATGTAGTAAGAGGACACTTGTTTGTTCCTGGCTACTCAACCCTGAAATAACCACACAGAAACTGTATTAATTAAGTCACTGTTTGACCTATTAGCTCTATCTTTATTGGCTAGCACTTATATCTTAATTTAACCCATTTCTATTAATCTGTGTATTGCCACAGGGCTGTGGCTTACTGGCAAGGTTCTGTCTAGCATCTGTCTCTGGCTTGGCTACATGATATCCCCTAACTCTGCCTTCTTTCTTCCTGCTTTCAGTTTAGATTTCCCCACCTATCTCTATTCTTCTCTGCCAGGCAAAAGACCACTTCTTTATTCATTAACCAAAAAAAGCAACACATGTACATAAGGACCTCCCACACCATTTCCCCTTTTCTGTGTAAATAAAAGTGAAGGTTTTGCCACACCTCCTGCTGGTACAACTTCATAAGGGCCAAGCACTCAAAAATGTGAGTCTATGGGGAATATTCCTACACATATCACCAAGTAGCCATTGTTTATTACATTTGGATTCGTTTTGCATTTCTTTGATGTCCTCTGTGCAAAAAAAAACCATTTTTAGTGTAGGGCTAGAGCTACACTTGCCTGTGGGAATAAGGATATATATTTAAAATAAACCTAGAAATTAAACAGGTTTAGGAAAGTGGTCATTATGGATATCCTCTAGGATCTATAAAATCACTATCCATGTACAGTTGATTGTATTCCAGTACCAGTCAAAATTCCTTCCTTTTGAGCAGTCTGGCGTCCTATTAGACAGTTTTTGATTACCTTCCAGGGATAATGGTCACTCTTGAACATATAGGGTTATCTTCCATGCTGGTAATTGCTGTAGTTCGTAGGAATCACAACTGAATTGGCAATTCACTATTTTCCTCTGTTGCCAGCTTTCATACAATGTTCAAGTACTATAAAGTCTAGTCCTCAGAGAAGAGGTTCCTTTACCATATCAGCATGAGCAGGGACTACATGAGTCAGCATCAGGTCTTATGCAGGTATATTACAGCTATTAGTTTAGTATTTTTATGAGACTCCTGACTATGAGAGAAAGTTAGTTTCTAACCCTTGTGTCTGCTCTTGGGAAACTTTTGATCCTGTTGGGTGGCAAGGTCTAACACCAATGTGATAATTTTGTTTCATATCATTATATTTGATTTTGTAATTTTTTGTTATCTCTTAGGGTCCTATTCTTCTCTAAAGAGAAAAAGAAAGAGAGTGGATCCCAGTGATAGGGAGGTTGGTAGGAACTGAGAAGGGTTGAGAGAGGGGAATCTATAAACAGTGTTTATTGTATGAGAAAAGAATATATTTTCAATAAAAGGGGAAAAGTTCCTTCAGCAAAGTGATTAATGGCATTTCAATATTTAATTAGATGAACTTTGTTTTTAAAGTAGTAATACTATTAACACTGGTAGTGAAATTTGAGAACTTCCTGTCAGTTTTTCAGATTGCTAAAATTTCCATGACTACTCAACAGTGATAGGGGTAATAGTAGTGTGACTTACATGAAATGGACAAATACCCAGAAGCCCAGAACCTACAGAAATGGATACATGATAAAACACATTACAGATGACATGAATAACTCTTAAGACTGAATCAATAAAGAAGTTTGACAAAAGTGAAAATTTTTAATGATGAAAACAGACAAATGAAGGGTATAAGAGAGGCCAGGGCATTGGAGGAACATGTGAAAAACCACTGCCAACTCGGTACTCACTGGGGACACAGATAACTTTCATTCTAAGGATGCTGTGGCAGCCACCTTTCTTCAGTATTCTCTTAGATATCCTAGACAAAACAATTACACAGCACAAATAAATGAAATGTGGACAAATAATTGTGTGTATAATAGATCTGCAGATGGCATGAACTTATTTTTTAATCTAAAGATTATACAGTAGTTTCTGGAACTGGTGAACAAACACACCCATCTGAGCTCTACTACTGTAAACTAATATTGCACACAAAACAATAGATTCCCTGTTTGGTCACATGCATAGAGAAGCTAAGTGACGAGGAAGACTCAATTTAGGACACCTGTATTTCCCTTAGAAAAAGAAATATAAAAGATTTGTGGATGTATTGGGGGTAGGTTAGGGTAGGAGCAGGTGGAATCTCCCTGGAAGATACAAGAGTAACCCTATAAAGACTCCGGGTACTGAGGCATAGGTAACCTGAACCAGGCATCTACTGTAACCACAGGAAACTTTAACAAAGGGACTGGGGACACCAATCCAGCCACAAAACAATTGACCTACAATTTGTCTATTCTGAAATATATACAGGGGTAATGTTTGAAGAGAACTTGGTGGATTGGCCAACTAATAACTGATCCAAATTAAAGTCCATGCCATAAGAGGGAGACCAGACCTGATCTTGGCTGGGTCACTAGGAAGCAGACAGAGGCTTGACAGCCCAGAAATTAAGAAGAGAAACAAACACAACCGAAAAAATATTTCAATGAAATGCTGACTAATGAACATTTGTTCTACTAGAAGATCAGTGTCCAGCCTAACGGTTATCAGAGTGCCATCATCCCGAAAAATATGAAAACAGATGCAGAGATATACAGACAAACATTTGGCAGAACCTGGGGAACCCCAAAGAATAGTGGAAGGATGGATCGTAGGAACCAGAGAGGTCAAGGATGCCATGAACGCATGGACCACAGAAACAACTGAGCAGGGCTTATAGAGGATCACAGAGACTGAAGTGATAATCACAGACCTGGTATGGGTTTGAGCTAGGGCCTTAGAGTATAAGTTATGGTGATGCAGATTCTTCGGGAACTCCTAAAGGTGGAAATAGAGGATATCTCTGACACTTTTGCCGGCCTTTGGACCCTTTTCTTCCTACTGGGTTGCCTCTCTAAGCTCTGATACGAGGGATGGTGGCAAGTCTAACATAACTTGATATGCCATGTTCTGTAGATATCCCTATCATTTTTGAAGGGAAAGAGAAGAGAAGTGGATCTGGGGTAGAGGGAAAGTGGAATTTAAAAAGGAGTGGGGGGAGGAGGTAACTGTGGTCAGTATGTAATATATGAGAGGAAAATAAAAAGGAAAGAAATACATATTAACAGAAAAACACTTATGTTCAAAATCCCACTGTGAAGGCCACTTTCAGGATGAAAACAGTGTGATCTGCCCTTATGTGAAGGATGTTACTTCTGTGTATCAAACAAAATGGATCAAAGCTGTTTAGAAACCAGCGATGACCACAGTGAAAATAGACAGACCCTTCTCCTGCCACTCTTCCTCACTTCACTTGGCTGGCTGGTGTGCAGGCACATTGGGTTTAGGTGACCTAGTGAAATGAGGAATGTGCTTGATCATATGAGAGGATGTTTTTCTCAAAGAAAACAATGCATCACTTTCAGAGTATACTTAGGGCATCCAAAAGCTTTAGGGCTCCTGAAATTAGTTTGCATGAATACTGAGAGATCGTTATATATTTGAACCACAAGCTAAGCTTTTGAGGCTTTAGATTTTTGTTGATGTCTTTATTTTCTTTTTAAGACAGCATCACTAGAATTCCTGGCCTTCCCTTGTACACACATGTATCCCAGGACTATAGGCATGAGTCACCATGCTGGCTAAACCTGAGTAGTACCTAATCATTTTCACCACATAATTTTTCTACATTTGTACACATTGATTAAATAGATGTCAGCATTCTACCCTGGAATGGGAGGAGAGGTCACTCACTCATCACGGCCAAGAGACTGGGAGACTGGTCTTCATACTGACTTGGTTGGAGACTTCACATTTGTATTCTCCAGCATCCTCTCTCCTGACAGGATCAATTCTGAGTCCACACTTTGTTGGGGACAGAGTCATCCTTCCTAGGTGAGGCATACTCTTGTTATTGAAGATCCAACGGATGGAGACATCAGTGTCGGGTGAAATGCAAGTGAAGATCACAGATGTACCTCCTGTGACTGTTCTGTCACTGATATGCACAAAGGGCTGTGTCACAGACTCTGTGAAGAAACAGAATATCAAATGGCAGTCATCCAGAGAGTCCAACCAGGCTCTCTTTAGTTCAGACTTAATAAATCTTCCAGGGGGGAGAATTTGTAGCTGTGGTTAGACACATAACTTATGTTCTGGATCTGCCACCCAGGGACTAATGGACCCTAATTCAGGCACTGTTTTCTGTGTCCCCGTTTCACTGGGATAGGACACACAATGAATGATCATTGCCATGTCCATAAGTTAAGCTTAGTTACAAGCAAAGGTCTAAGCTTGGGATGGGGGAACTGGTGACATAAACAGCTTCTGTAACTATTTAGCTGCAGAAAACAATTCCCTAGTCTGGATTCCTGAGGTGAAGGAGAAATCGGAAGTAACTACCTCTTTGATTTCTTCTCTTGGTGCCTTGAACTTCCAGTGAGGTCTCATAAACCCTTCAGAACATTAGGCTAATGGCCCAGACACCTGTCCACTGAGTCATATGTAAAGGAGACGCACAGGTGACCGACCAAACTGCAGCTGTCATGGCAGTAGACAGCTGGTGTTACACTTTAGGATCGTAGGTCCCATGACTTGGACAGTCAGTAAAGCCTTGTTCCCTGTGACTCTGATGAAAATCTAGACAAACAGCTGCAAAAATCTCCCCAGTGTCACCTTGAGTCCAGCCTGGGGCAAAGTTGTGGAGTTGGGGCTTTCTGGTTCTCTCTGTTAGGACCCTAAGATTTAACTATCCAAGAACTGCCTGACTCCAACAGAATCTTTCTGGGGACATGTGCATGGTGAGAGCTCCAAGTGTCTGGACTGAAGCTGATATCCTGGGGCTGAGTTTACACCTTTCTGTATGAAAGTTCCTCCTTTCTGTACGAAAAGGCAATTGTGGGATTCTGATCTATTACAGTTTATCTACCCCATGTGTGTCCTGCAGTAGAGACCCAAACCCCAGTGCAGGGACACAATGCACTGGAGGAGAGCTCAGTAAAAGCCCAGTCCCGACATGTTAGTGTATGAAGTGGGATCAGACTCTTTAAGCAGTTGGAGACCATAGAGAGTCACTTACTCTTTACATAAAATTCCACGTATGTTTTTTCAATTTTGGAATCTTTGTTTAAAACTGCTAGTGTGTAGATTCCGGCATCTTTCTCAGTGAGATCCTGGAGCATCAGGGATCCATTATTGTACACTATATCTCTTCTTCTGGCTTCAGGCCCCCAGATGATGGAATTCGTGGCTCTCCAGTATTCTACAACTTTACGGACCGGGTTTCTATACTTTGATTTATGCCAGGAAAAGGCTTTCAGATTTTCTGGAAGATTATGAACTTGGAGAACTATGCCTTCCCCTTCAGCTGCATAGCGAGGCACCGGTTGGATCCTGAGTTGGGAAGAAGTGAAAGGGTTGCAGAACTGAGAATGAGAAGCTGGGAGGGAAAAGAGAAAAGAAAAAGCCATCACATGGGGATCATTATTCTTGGTGAAAAGATGTTAAACTCCATCCTGATCAGATGGATTCATCACTCAACCTACAGTTGCAGGTCTGTGTGTGTGTGTGTGTATGTGTGTGTGTTTGTGTATCTATCCAACTTAGTAGAAAGTAGATACATGACCTCCTCCTTTCCAACAGTGCCCCTGATACCATTGCATCCTCTGCATGGAACTGCCCCTGGGGTGTGTACATGGCTGCTCCCTCACTTCCCTCAGACACTGCACACACAGATGAACACTGTGGTTCAAGATGATGGATGATGACTCCTCTGAACTCAATAGACCTGGAACTTTCACGTTGTAGGATTTTACTTTTTTTTTTTACTTTGAAACAACACTCAATTTATGACTTCAATAATAGATATGCTTGCTCTGTCAAGTATCCATTAGGTTTGGAGCTATATGGAACCTGGGGAGCAGTCTGATCTTCAAGGCAGGTTCATGTCTTTAAAATGCTTGAGTAATAGGCTGAATAGTTTTATGTCAACTTGACACAGCTACAGTCATTTGGCAAGAAAAAGTCTCAGTTGAAAACTCCACCACCAGATTGGCTGGTGGGCTAAGCTACAGGACATATTTTTAAATTTGGAATTGATTCAAAAGAATTCAGACCAATACAGGCAGTTCAAGCATTGGGCAAGGAATCTTGGGTGATATAAGAGAGTTGTTGGAGCAAGCATGAAGAGCAAGCCAAATGGAAGCACTCCACCATGGTCTCTGTACCTGGATTTTATTCGTGACACTCTCCATTTGGAGCTAATAAATACCCTAGCTTGACATGGATGATCCAAAACCATTTTCCCTATCAGCCTTGAAAGGATGTAAGTGTAGAGCACTAGAAAATGCTCCCCGGTGTCACTTTAGTCCAATTTTGGAAAGATGACAGAATTCAGGGTTCCCTGATCTACATTCACAAAAGACTGGTCTGACTCTGACATCCTAGACAGAGTTGTTTTCCATCAATGTCTTTCTTGATGCAGATGGACTCAGAAGATGGAAGGTGAGCTGTGGCCATTTGTCTCTACCGGTGTGACCTACATTAAGTGCACAAATCTCCCCCTGGGAACACAATATAGAGGAGAAGGGCAGCTAGGCCAGCCATGGCAGTCCTGTATGTCTAAGGCCTACCAGGTACTCAACAATCACAGAGAATCACTTACTGTGGACCTGGAGTTGTATCTGTGCTTCTTCACTTCTCAAATCTGTTCTCAGAATAGCTAGAGTGTACAGTCCAGGGTCTTTCTGAGTGACACCATGAAGCAGCAGGGATCCATCACTGTGCAACATCTCTCTGCCACTGTATGCAGGCCCCCACACAGTTGCTTTCCTGCCTGGTATATATCGGGCAACCTCAAGTTTCTTGGACGCAGTCATCCATTTGAACCAGGCAAGGGCTTTAATATTCTCTGGTGGATTGTGAACAAGTAGAAGAACACTTCCCCCTTCAGTAATGCAAGGTGGTACTGATTCAATAGTAGGTTGGGCAGAGGTGACATGGCGCCCACAAGTCCAAAAGATGGCTAGAAGGGAAGAGAGAGATCCAACCAAATTTGAACATTAGGATCTGACTAAGATGAGGCCCCGTGTCCACTGCTCAACCTAGGTATGTGAGCTACTTCCTGTCCTTCTTGGTGGAGGTAAGCACCCAATGTTGATTCCTTTGGGGTCTTTCTCAAGGACACACTCTTTTGAGAACCCCGGGAGTCTAGACATAGCCTGTTATTGTTATCATAGACTGAGTTACCCACCATCTGTCCACCTGCCTGTAAAGAGAAGACAAATGAAGGACTGTGATCTATTGTCATTACTCTACACTGTGCATATCCTACACTGAATACTCAAAGCACAAAATTGGGTTGCAGTGCACAGGGGATGGAGGTACAGGCCACTCTACTGTGTGTGTCCTATGAAATGAAATCCACCCAGAACCCAGAATTCACAAAATCACTTACTGTGGACATGAAGGTACATGGTTGCTGTTGACACAATAAATACATGTCTATTTAAGATTCGTAGGATATAGAATCCTGTATCCTTCTTGGTGACGTTTCTCAACAGTAGGGATCCATTGCTATATACTGTCTGTCTACCACTGTTAAAGGTCCCTGGTACACTTAAATTTTTGTCCAGGAAATATGTTCCAATTCCATAGTCCATATTTTCCACACTTTTGGACCAGACTAAAGCTTTAGAACTCTTTGGCAGACCATTGACAAGAAGAAGGACATTTTCTCCTTCAACCACTTGAGGTGGGACAGATTCAATTCTGACTTTGATGGCTGTGGGCAGGTGCCAGCATGTTAAAAGGGAGGCTGGAAGGGAGCAGAGAAAAACCATCAATGTTGAGTTTATTTGACAATCTCTCAGCTTAGATAAGGGGAAAGAAATGTGTCCATCTTTCTTGATGAGCAACATGATTTTCATTCCCTCAGAGCCTCACACTGTATGACCAATTCCCTTAGGAATCCTCTGCTCAGGTGTCTGTCTGCCTCCCCCATAAGTGTTCCCATATCACTCATCACATAGAATATTTTGTGATGCCTTTCCGAACTCTAGAGAATCCTCCCTTTCTGACTTTTTTCTCTGTCCACTTTATAATTCCAGTCAACCCAGGACATCATCTTGCAGATACACTGATGTCAGGTCCACAAGAGCCAAGGCCTTGTGAAGATAGGGATTAGTGTGGCTGTTTTGGAAATTTCATCTCCTGGGAAAGATTCAGGCAACGTGAATAAAGGAAAAGATAAAAGGAAGGAAGGAAGGAAGGAAGGAAGGAAGAAAAGAAAGAGGTATGTGTCCCCATGAGATTATCTACAGAGTTCCCAGGTTTGGAGTTAATGGCAATAATTATATTCAAGTGTGATTTAAATTATTTTAATTTACTAGTGTATATTATATGTGTATTTCTGAAGGCAAGTGTCTCCATGTATGCACGTGAAGAGTGTGCCAAAAACCAGCCTGGTCTACAGAGCTAGTTCCAGGACAGGCTCCAAAACCACAGAGAAACCCTGTCTCGAAAAACCAAAAAAAAAAAATCTGTGTAGAAACATACGTTTCATTTTGCCCATGTGTGGGTACATGCCACAAAACATATGTGAAGACACTTGTCTCAATGTTAGCATCTATGTTAGCATCTGTAGATATACACCACAGCACCTGTGTGGAGGGCAGGGAAGAGCCTTCCAGAATCTGTTCTCTCCTTCTACAATGAGGCAGCTGAGGATTAAATTCAGGTTGTCATGTCTCCACACACTCAGCCATCTCTATAGTACACCCCTGTTTGATTTCTATTTGGACGGTCATGCTGTCATGGTTGGCAACAGCTGTGTTAAAACACTGCAGACAAAGTAATTGACTGTGAATATTGAATGTTTGAGGCTTGTCTCTCCCCCTCTTCACATCTGTCTGCTCAGGCTTCTGAGCCTCAGTCCCTCATTGTACCTTCTTCCCCATGACTTCAAACAGAAACCTCAAGTCTTCTCTCAGGTTCCTGCCCTCATTAGAAGACTACAGCCTGCTTCTGAGATTCTCTCTACCCTCACAGTCAGAGAGTGTATACCCTTACCTGTGAGCAGAAGCCCCTGCCATGAGGTACACCCATTGCAGAGAAGAACAGAGGACACCTCCATCTCCCTTCTCACTGTACAATCCTCCCTTTAGGAGAAGAGCTTCAGTTCCAGCAAGTAGCTCAGTCTCTTCTGTTCTTCTTACCTCTAAGCTGAGTTTCCTCTCAGACAGGAACACTTCCCAGAACCCAATGGGCTGTTGGGGGTAGATTATGTGTCCAAGGAACTGCCTTGTCCCCTTCACTCTCAGTACTGCCCTGTATCCCTCTTGACTTCCCTTTATGTTTCTCCTCCAAGGAACACATTGAGCAACAATGCTGATAAGCATCCCCACACCCTCAGAGAACAATGGCTCTTCTGAGGGCTTATATCTGCTGTGTCCTTGCCTTAGGTCTGTTAACACCAGAGGGAGCCTTTATCACAACTATGTGTCCTGTGACAAAAATACCTAACTGAGCATGCTGTCTGTCCTGTACTCTCAATGCTCTATGAAGATGGTATTTATTTAATCCCTAAAGGAAAGTGACAGATGTCTCTGAAGGTGGGAGGGAGACTAGATGTATGAGAACTATGAGTGAAGGTCAATTCTTTATCAATAATGTCACCAGTCAAAGTTCTGAACGAAGAGAGATGGCCAGGAGCCTTTAATTACTGCTCACCTGGTATTGTTTCATTTTGGTATATAGTATCTATCTAAAAAATTATCCATTTCTTTTACATTTTTCAATTTTGTGGCATTCAGGCTTTTGTAGTAAGACCTAATGATTCTCTGAATTTCCTCAGTGTCTGTTGTTATGTCCCCCTTTTCATTTCTTATTTTGTTAATCTGAGTGTTCTCTCTCTGCTTTTTGATTAGTTTGGATAGTGGTTTGTCTATCTTATTGATTTTCTCAAAGAACCAGCTCTTTGTTTCATTGATTCTTTGGATTGTTTTCTGTGTTTCTGTTTTGTTGATTTCAACTTCAGTTTAATAATTTCCAGTCTTCCTCTCCTCATGTGTGAGTCTGCTTCTTTTTTTCTAGGGCTTTCTGGTGTGATGTTAAGTCTCTGATGTGAACTTTATCCGTTTTCTTTATGTGGGCACTTAGTGCTACACTTAGAACTTTCGCCTTCATAGTGTTACATAGGTTTGGGTATGTTGTGTCTTTATTTTCATTGAATTCAAGGAAGACTTTAATTTCTTTCTTTATTTCTTCTGTAACCCAGTAGTGGTTCAGTAGTTGATTGTTTAGTTTCCATGAGTTCGTAGGCTCTATGGGGGTGCTTTATTGGTAAATTCTAACTTTACTCCATGGTAATACGATAAAACACAGATGATTACTCTGGTTTTTTTTTGTATCTGTGGATGTTTGCTTTGTGAGTATGTGATCAATGTTCGAGAAGGTTCCATGATATGCTGAGAAGAAAGTATATTCTTTCCTGTTTGGGTGAAATGTTCTATAGATGTCTGTTCAGTCTATTTGATTCACTACATCTGTTAGTTCTCTTATTTCTCTGTTAAGTTTCTGTGGTTGATCTGTCCATTGGTGGGAGATAGGAGTGTTGAAATATCCTACTATTAGTGTGTGGGCTTTGATGTGTGATTTGAGTTTTAGTAATGTTTCTTTTACATATGTGCATGCTTTTATATTAGGGGCATAGATATCTAGGATTGAGACCTCATTTTGATGAATTGTTCTTGTTTTGATTATAAAGTGTCCTTCTCCATCTCTTCTCATTGATTTTAGTTTGAAATCAATTTTATTAGATATTAGAATAGCCACACCCACTTGCTTTTTAAGTCCATTTGATTGGAAAAACTTATCCCAACCCTTTACTCTGAGTTAGTATCTGTCTTTGAGGTTGAGATGTGTTTCTTTTAAACAGCAGAATGCTGTATCCTGTTTTTGTATCCAGTCTCTTAACCTGTGCCTTTTTATAGGTGAATTGAGTCCATTGATATTAAGTGATATTAATGACCAGTGGTTTTTAACTCTGGTTATCTTTTGGTGGTAGTGTTTGTGTATTTCCCTTCTTTGAGTTGTGTTGTTGGAGGGTTATCATGTCTGTGTTATTGTGGGTGGTGTTAGCTTTCTTTGCTTGAGGTTTTTCTTCTAATGCTTTCTGTAAGGTTGTATTTGTGGATACATATTGTTTAAATCTGTTTTTGTCATAGAATATCTTGTTTTCTCCATCAATAGTGAAAGGAAGATTTGATGGATATAGATGTCTGGGCTTGCAGGAAGCAAATTTAAGAACACGATATCTGTCAAGCGGTGGTGTAGGTGGGATAAAATGGTAGTTCAATGGGTTATAAGTGTTTGTCATTGTTCAGAGTGGTTGGTTACAAGCTGTTATTGGTAATGGTCAGGGAAAAAGCTAAACAAAATAGATTACATTCAGGGTTCTTTTTTAAAAAGAAAAACAAGCACATATATATAGATATATATATAGATATATATATATGTATATATTGGGTGACAATATCTTTGGGGGCTCTGGAAAAGAAAATTTTGGGTTAGTTGTCAAGCCCTGGGATAGGTGGCTCTATCACTTGTGTGGAGGAGGGTCATCTGTCTATGTGTTACTTTCATTGGTTAATAAAGAAAACTACCTTGGCACTTTGATAGGACAGAAAATTAGGTAGGCCGCATAGACAGAACAGAATGCTGGGAAGAAGGGAAGTGAGGCAGTCGCCATGCTTCTCCTCTCTGAGACTGATGCAGATTAAGATCTTTCCTGGTATGCCACCACCTCGTGGTGCTACACAGATTACCAAATATGGGTTAAAGCAAGATGTGAGAATTAGCCAATAAGAGGCTGGGACTAATGGGCCAGGCAGTGTTTAACTGAATTCAGTTTCCATGTAATTATTTTGGGTAAAGCTAGCCTTCCAGGAGCCGGGCGGTGGGAAGTGGCCTGCAGCTCCTTCTACACACTTGTTGTATAGTTTCTGTATAATGGGCTTGTCTCAAGTCCTAACTAAAGTAGTCTGTGAGATTGGATCATATGAGCTAGCCATCTCAAAATTGTTCTGAGTAGTTTGTAGTCCAAAGCCAATCTTTAGGTGGTGTTTTTCAGTTTAGTGGTATTATAGTACTGGAGGAATCTTTGTGGGGCCTCATCATTCAAAGGTCACTGTTTGGTGTGGTCATGGTTCACTGTATAAAACTGATAGAGACTCGCTCTTCCTGTAAGCGGCCAGAGGTGACCTGTGAAGATGGTTTGCTACTCTCTTGACCCAGAAAACCCTACAAAATCATACAAATCGAGAGGATCAAACCTTCGGGTTCACTTTAAGAACACCCATGAAATGGCCCAGGCCATCAAGGGTATGCATATCCGAAAAGCCACCAAGTATCTGAAAGATGTCACTTTGAAGAAGCAGTGTGTGTCATTCCGACAGTACAATGGTGGAGTCAGTAGGTGCGCCTAGGCCAAACAGTGGGGCTGGACACAGGGTTGGTGGCCAAAAGAGTGCAGAATTTTTGCTACACATGCTTAAAAATGCAGAGAGCAATGCTGAACTGAAGGGTTTAGATGTGGACTCTGGTCATTGAGCACATCCAGGTGAACAAAGCACCTAAGATGCGCCGACAAACTTACAGAGCTCATGGCCGGATTAACCCATACATGAGCTCCCCCTGCCACATCGAGATGATCCTCACTGAAAAGGAACAGATTGTTCCAAAGCCAGAAGAGGAGGTTGCACAGAAGAAAAAAATATCCCAGAAGAAACTGAAGAAACAAAAACTTATGGCATGGGAATAAATTCAAATGAAATAAATGCAAAAAAAAACTGATAGAGATTCAAACCTGAAATCATGTACAGGAAGGGTAGATGAAGATTTTGCCTAGAATTAATTAGTACTATATATGACCATTAATATCATGACAAAATTTAAAAATACAAATATATTAATCTTATAAATTTTGTGATAATATGTTTGCCTTAAGAAATGCTTTAAAGATACAATATAAAACCAAAGGATTATGAGATTAGTGGCAATAAAATAGTACTTAAATATTTGTTTTTCTTCTGTCCCATATCAGGTGGCTCTTCTGACATGAGATAGAGATTTTGGATTTCACTTTAGTAAGCATGCTTGGATTTAGAGGAAAAGAGAGCCACATTTCAACTACAAAGACAGCTTTTTAAATTTTCTTTATTTATTTATCTATTTTAAAAAAATCTTTTCTCATTTTACATGCCAATTCTAGTTCCCACTCCTTCCCCTCCTCCTGCTCCTCCTACCTTTCCCCCATCCACTCCTCATGGAAGGTAAGGCTTCCCATGGAGAGTCAACAAAGTCTAGCACATTTCAAAGCCAGCTTTAATCCTGAATTTTACTGCAACTACAAAAACACCATTGGCATTATATGTCTGTAGAAAACCACAGAAACAAACATTTGGAAAGATTTATGAAATTTTATCCTGTTAGATATGTGATATGACAATAGGCCAATTTACTCTTTTCTTGAGACATTTTTTTCTGGATGACTTGTCGTTTTTCTTCAGATCTCTCATTATTCCAGTAGTCTTCATATTCCTTAGCTGGATACCTTTATTTCTCTGAAAATACAGAAACACAGTTCTTCACCAACCCTAATTTTGGGGAACATTCTCTTTATATCTGATAAAGTGAAAACTGTTTCATAGTTTTCTAGGTAGGTTAAACTACCAACCTAGTTTAGGTAGTAGATTAAATCTAGGTAGGAAGATTAAACATCCATGCTGTTTTATGAAATATCATCTCTTCTAATTATGAGGTATCTCTTGTTCCAGTCAAATATTCATCAATTTTGATGGTATCCATAGCCTTTCTTCTCCTGTGGAAACAAAAGCAAAACCCCTTCCCCAATATGACATATGTCCTGGTTTCCATTCTGAGGCCAGTATATTTGTAAAGTATATTGGCTGATTTAATTCAGAAGTTTTTACTACTATCTCTCATACACATATCTAAAATGCATAAGTAATGGGAAATTAAAACTTAAACCATGTTATTAATCTATTTTGTTATCTACCAACATGAGATTCCTTCAAATAAGTTCCCTTGTATGATTCTTCACTCATTAACTCC